TGCTCAGCATAGCGGGCCTGCATGCAAGAAAGTAAGGGTTGGGAGGGAATGGCGGGGGGAGAGCAGGACCTGGTGTGGCTCTGTGAGTACTGAGACCACACACACACACACACACACACACACACACATGCACATGCGCCACACACGCACACACACGCACTCTCTCTCTCTCTCTCTCTCACACACACACACACACACACACACACACATGCGCCACGTCCACACACACACAAGTATCCCGCCGCAGGAGCACGCCTACTACGGCTCCTTTGGCTACCACGTCACCAACTTCTTCGGCGTCTCCTCCCGCTGCGGCACCCCCGACGAGCTCAAGGCAATGATCGATGAGGCGCACAGGTGCGTGTGGGGGCGTGTGTGTGTGTGTGTGGGGGGCTTTCCCTTCTCGAGTGATAGGGGGTGGGGGTGGGGGAAGGGAGAATCACAGACCTGCAGCGGGACGGCAGCAAGGGAGGGCTGGGGAGCTGGAGGCCACGCAGCCTGGGGACCGCAGAGGCATGCATGCAGGCGCCTGGTGCGTGCAGCCCTTTGGTCCTCACCTGCGCCCTAAGTCCCTATGTCTCCCCGCCCACCCGCCTGCAGGCTGGGCCTGGTGGTGCTCATGGACATTGTGCACTCCCACGCCTCCAAGAACACCATGGACGGCATCAACATGTTTGACGGGTGAGTGCGGTACATTTGGACGGGTGAGGCGGTACGGCACATGCATGTGCGCCTGAGGGCAGGCCTGGCAGCTTCAGCAGTGGCGATCGTGGTGGGGGGCTCCGCCGGCACCATGCTTTGGGGCTGCTGGGCTGGGCACAACATTGTGGGCGGGGCTGGTGTGCCGTGGGGCCTCAGGCCTGTGGGCAGCCTGTGCCTCGCACAGCGGCCGCCTGGACGCTGCATTCGCCCGCCTGCGCCCCCAGCTCACCTGCCCGTACCGCCCCCTGACCGTACTGTACCGCAGTACCGATGCCATGTATTTCCACGGCGGCGGCCGCGGCTACCACTGGATGTGGGATTCCCGCTGCTTCAACTATGGTGAGCCTGCTGCCCCCTGCTCTGCCCGCGCCCGGCTGCCTGTGCAATGCCTGCCTGGCTGGGCGCCTGCGCCTGTCTTCCCGTCCTGCAGCCTGCCTTTGCCTCGTCCTGGCGCTGCTTTCGTGCCTGCCTGCCTGCTTGCCTGATGCTGGCCTGCCTCCTGCCGCCTCTCCTGCCGCCATCTCCCTCGCTGGGCCCGTTTGCCGGGTGCTGGCCGCCGCCTCCCGCCATCTCCCTCCCTGCCTGCTCCTGACCCAGCTCCCACCTGCCCCCTGCTCGCGCCCCGCAGGCAACTGGGAGACAATGCGCTTCCTGCTGTCCAATGCTCGCTGGTGGATTGACGAGTACAAGTGAGGAGGCAGCCCCCTGTCAGTCGGATTGCAGCGCTGGAGCAGCCATGGTGCCGCAGATGCAGGCGCCCCCTGCTGCATGCACAACGCCGGGCGGAAGCAGCTGGTGGGGGGGCTTGCTTGGCGCGGCGACGGCAAGGGGGAGGAGGCAGGGTTGCAGGGCAGCTGACAGGGAGGGTTGGCGCTGAGCTTGCATTGACGGTACCGTCTGTACTGCAGGTTTGACGGGTACCGCTTTGATGGCGTCACCTCCATGATGTACCACCACCACGGCCTGCAGACCACCTTCACCGGTGGGTGTTACTGGCGGAGGTTTGGCTGTTGTCTGCTAGCTGCCTGCTGCATCTGCACCCACCTGCCCCCTCGCGGGCTGCACCGCCCGCCCCTCCTCCGATGCACCGCCTGTGTTGTACCGCCTGCCATGTACCGCCAACCATAGGGCCAATGTTGTTCCCATCCGTACCGCAGGCAACTACGACGAGTACTTTGGCATGGCCACCGACGTGGATGCGGTGGTTTACCTCATGCTGGTGGGTGCTGGGGGTATGGCGCTGTGTAGCGTGGCAAACCCTGAACTCAGCTGTGTGGGCCTGGGCTGCTGGCGCTGCCCCTGCGGCCCTCCTCCTGCCACCCCTCCTGCCACTCCTGGTGTGCGTTGGCTGGGGCAACCTCAGGGAGTGGGCCGCGGTCAGCATGCGCCGCTCAACCCTGGAACTCAACTGCTCCACGCCGCGCTTTCCTCCCCCTGGTCAAACCACCGCCAGGTCAACAATGTCATCCACGACTTCTTCCCCACCGCCATCACAATCGGGGAGGATGTGTCGGGCATGCCCACCTTCTGCCGGCCCTGGCAGGTGGGAGCGAAGTGCGGCCGGGGCAAGAGCCAGTGTTGGCCCCTCGGGAGGGCTGCAAGCATCCCTCCGGATTGCGGCGCCTGGGCAGGGCGCCGCAGCGGCACCCCAGCGCACCCGCATGCCAGCCGGCTGCCGCTGCCGCGCGCTGCTCCAACCTGCCCCTGAGCCCGGCAGCCCGACCGCTCCTGCCTCGCCTCGGCCGCGGCTGGGCCCGCGGCCCCAGCACCCGCCGCCAAACGGATACGCAGTCAGCGCTCCTGCCTCGCCTCACCCCGCCGCCGCCCCTGCCCCCACCCCTGCCCCGCCTCTCTCTCTCTCTCTCCGCCTGTGCAGGAGGGCGGCGTGGGCTTTGACTACCGCCTCAACATGGCCATTGCCGACAAGTGGATTGAGATTCTGAGCGAGAGCGACGACTGGGGCTGGAACATGGGCAACCTGGTGCACACAATGACCAACCGGCGGTACATGGAGCCCTGCGTGGTGAGCGGCGGCGGCGGCGGCCTGCAGCAGCATGCGGCCGGGGCTGGGGGGCTGGGGCGCCAGCTGGTGTTTGGGGAGGGGAAGTGTCGCGCCGTGCTGGTGTGGAGGTGGCTGAGCATCTGGTAGCCCGGCGCGCCTCCGCTTGAGCACCCCCTCGCCTCCACCCACCCACCCTCACCCGTCCTCCCCCCTCCTGCCTCCCCCTCCCGCAGGGCTATGCGGAGAGCCACGACCAGGCCCTGGTGGGCGACAAGACCATCGCCTTCTGGCTCATGGATGCCGCCATGTACGACTCAATGGGCGCCGACGGGTGGGTTTAGGGTTTAGGGTCTTGCTGGTGTGTACCTTGTTTGGCACCTTGTTTGGTGTTGCAAGTTTGGTTGGGTCCGGCGTGGAGGCTGTGGCGCTGGCCCCGCTGCTGGTGCCGGCGCCGCCGCCGGCGTGGGAGTGGCGGCGAGCCTGCACGGGGGTGCCTGCAGGGGCGCCGCGCTGGCACCTATCCCCTGCTGCATCCCCACTGACAGCGCCGCCCTGCCCGCCTCCCTGCCCGCAGCCCCAGCAACCCCGTGGTGGACCGCGGCATCGCGCTGCACAAGATGATCCGGCTCATCACGATGTGCCTAGGAGGTGGGTGGCAGGCGGCGGCAGCGGGGAGGGGAGGGGAGGCAGCGCCGGAGCGGCGGGCGTGGTGACGGGGGCTGCCCCTACCTTGGCTTGTCCCCATCTGCCGATCCTTTGCTCCCTGTTGTATGCCCCATGCTGCACCCTGATCCTGCTGGCCCAGGCCTGGTGCAGTGCCTCTCTGCTGATGGCACTGCCCTTGTACTGCTCTTGTACCGCCTGTACAGGCGAGTCGTACCTCAACTTCATGGGCAACGAGTTTGGCCACCCCGAGTGGATCGACTTCCCGCGGGACGACACCTAGTGAGCGCGCCGCCCAGCTTCCCGACAGCTGCCGCGGTGCCGCCCTGCTGCCGCACGCCTGGCCAGCGCGCTCGCAAACCGACCAACAGGCTGCCCGGCGGCTGCCTCTCCCTTTCCCGCCGCCGTCTGGCCCTCCGCTGCCGCCGCCGTGTCGACGTCTCCAACCAGCCGCCCCTTGCTTAACCACCCCTCCCACCTTTGCGCCTGCAGCGACACCTCCACCGGCGAGTTCATCCCCGGCAACGGCGGCTCCCTGGAGAAGTGCAGGCGGCGGTGGGACCTGGCGGATGCGGGTGAGCGGGCGTGGTGTGCTGCTGGGGCCTGGCGGAGGGGGCCTTGCATGGCCGCGGCGGCGCCGGGTCGGCGCAGCCGCGACGGCAGGCGGCGCCTGTGGCCCGGCCTGCCTGACGCCCGCCCCTTGCCTCAACAGTGCCGCCTCCAGCGGCGCGCGCAGGCTGTGTGCGTCGCTCGCTGCACCGCCCCCTCATGTACCGCCCCCTCATGTACCGCCTCCTGTTTGTACCGCAGACTTCCTGAAGTACAAGTACATGAACAGCTTTGACATCGCCATGAACCACCTGGACAAGGCCTTTGGCTTTGTCTCCGCCCCCCACACCTGGACCTCCCGCAAGGACGAGGCCGACAAGATTGTGGTGGTGGAGCGCGGTGCGCGGGGGGTGGGGGGTGGGGGAGGGGAGGTTTGTTTTAAGGTTCTTCCTAAGCCCGACAAGATTGCGGTGGTGGGGCGTGGGGCCAGACGCTGCCGCTGATGCTGCGCCACGGTGCCTGCTTCTGCGGCGTGCCTCGCCTTCCCCCCCCTCCCATGCCCGCCCCCTAAACCCTCCTGCCACCACCACCCCGCCCGCCACCACCGTGCAGGCGACCTGGTGTTTGTGTTCAACTTCCACCCCACGCAATCCTACACCGACTACCGGGTGGGCGCCTACAAGAGCGGCTCCTACAAGGTGCGTGGGCGCGGGGCTGCCCAGGAGGGAGGCCGGCGGCGCGTGTGGCTGCCGCGCCATGTGGCGGCGGTGGCGCAGCGCAGCCCGCCGAGCGGCCACGAAGTCGGCAGCCGATCAGCCCGCCGTGCAGGCCCTCCGGGTTGGCGCTGTAGGGGGGTGTATGACGCACCGCGCTGCCTCCCTCTCGCGCTCAGCACCTGCCCAGAACCTGCCGCTCCCTGTCGTGCCCGCAGGTGGTCCTGTCCAGTGACGAGCAGGTGTTTGGCGGGTGGCAGAACGTGACCAAGAACTCCAACGTCGAGTTCCACGCGCAGCAGGGAGACCACGACAACCGCCCATACTCCATCCAGGCGCGTGCGCGGCGCAGCCGCGGCTGCCGCCTGCGTCGAGGCCGCGCGCGGCGCGGCCGTGGCCGGCTGCGTCGAGGCCCTGCGCGTCTCGTGCGCCCGCCTTGTGTGTGTGCCGGCCCGGCCGCGCCGCCGCCTGCCGGCCCGCGTGCTTCAGGGCGCGCCGGCTTGCTGGGATGCTGCCTGCCTGCCTGCCTGCATTGCCTGCCTGCCTGCCTGCATTGCCTGCCTGCCTGCCTGCATGGCGTGCAGTGCGTGCGCCGACTGCCCCTCCCCGCCTGCTCTGCCGCAGGTGTACGCGCCGTCCCGCACCGTTGTGGTGTATGCCCCCGCCGAGTTCTGCGACCCCCAGGTGGGTGGTAGTGCCGTAGTGCTGCGGTACTAGTGTACTGCACACAGTGGGCGCGCACTGTTGGGAGTCTTGTGAGCGCTTGTGACATCGGTCAGGTGGCTGGCAGCTGTGGGCTGGCAGCGGCTGCTGGGCTGGGCCCACCGCTGCCTCACAGCGTGCCCCTTCGCCCATGCCCCTCGCCTGCGCTGCATCCCCCTCTGCACCCGCTGCAGGCGGACAGCAAGCCCATGGGCATCCCAGGGCTGGGCGTGAAGGACATCGGCCCATACTACGCATACTGAGCTGGCGCCCGCTGCTGAGCTGGCGTCCGCCACGTGGCGCCGCCGCCGAGCCAGCCCCTGTACTCTCCTCTGTCGGCCGCCTCGGCGCGCCATGACTTGCGTGCCGCCGCCTTTACTGCTGCCCTATACCCGGCGGGCGGGCGGCGGCCCTGTGCATACCCTCCTGCCCCTCTGTGTCCCCTCCGTGTCCCTACCAGTATCCCATCCCTTGATGTCTCCTGTCTGTGCCCTCGCATGCGTGCCTGTGTCTGCGTTTGTCTGAGGAAAGCACAGCAAACCGCGGCCCCCCCGGACCCCCGCATGCATCCTTCTGGGGACAAGCGGCGGCGTGGGGGTGCGCCGGTCTCTCCCTGCGTGCATTTCTGAAACACATGACCCGACACCCAGCCCTTCCCCCATCTTTTTTCCACCCTTCCACCGCTCTGGCACGCTAGCATGGCGCCAGCCCCGGTCCAGCTCATGACCCTAGTCCGGCACATGCCCATTCATTCCTACGCATGCCCGCAGGCCTCATGGGCCCCCCATGAGACCCGCTCTCTTCACTGCTCTCTTTTGATGCTTCGCCACCCCGTTGCTCTTGCCGGGCGCAGGCGCCAGGCTGCACCGGCGGCACCCGCCCCTGCCGCGCCCGCCTCGGGCGCCCTATGAGTGATCCTTGCCTTCCCCCTTTGTTGCGTTGCGCGTGGCTAGCAGGCACTGCTTTACTCTGCGTCCGCTTTTGGGTTCGCTCCGCTGCCTCCAGATTGGACGGCACACCACATTACCATTCGCTGTAATACCTCAATGCAAGCCATGGGATTACCACCGGGCTGGGCCTGTTGAGAGCAGCGCGCCGGCCTGATGAGGCGTTGCACGCAGCAGCAGCCGCTTGCGCAGCCTTTGACTGGTATGGCTGCTGCGGGGGGTTGTGCTGATGAGTGTGCTGACAGCGGGCTAGAGGGTCTTGCCTTCCCCAAGGCAGCGAGCGGTGGGGCGAACAATGAGCGCGGCCAGCCAGCCGTGGCTACTTTGCCAGCCCACCACTACCTTCGGTGCTGCCTCCCGCTTCCTGCTGGCCGTGCACGTCCCCTCCACGGGAGTCCCAACCTGGACCACCACCACCTGCTCGCCCCCGCTCTCTGCCACCACCCGGCTGCCCTGCCCTGCCCTGCCGCTGTGCAAGCAGGAGGACGCACCGGTGGGCGCGCTCCTGTAGGCGCTGGGTGGCAGCTCCTCAGAGATGCCGCTGGCGCTGCCATATCGCTTGCCGTCGCCCGCCAGCAGGGCTCACGCGCAACCGGGCAGCCGTGTCTCGTACTCTTATGAATTCTGCCTGCCGCATGCCAGCTGTGTTTTAAACGCCAAACTAGGCAGCAATGAAGAGCAGGGCAAGGATGAACAGAAAATTGGGAAGTTCCAAGGTGATGCGTGAAATGAAATTGGCGCGGAACAAGGCAGATGAAGAGCAGGAGGGGGCGAGGGGCAAAACCTGTACAGAACTCGCAGGCGCAGGGCTGCTGACAGAAAAAAGGTAAGGGCACAGGGAGCAGCGGACAAGCAAAGGAGCGACTCAGCCTTTCAGGCTCCTCACCGAGGCGTCCAGCTGCTGCAGCTGCTGCAACATGAGCTGTTGCTGCTGCTGCTGCTGCAGCTGCTCACCGTGTTCCTCCTGCTTGTGCTGGATCAGCTCCAGCGTCTTGCCGGTGGCGATCTCGAAGCGCCTTCCTCCCTCTTCCAGGACAGCGAGGTGGGACTCCCCGATAGAGGTTGCCATGTTGGTGTTGACGCCTTCTATCGAGGTCGCCAGCAGCCAAGTCGCCCCTCCAGTAACGGCGATTGCTGCGATGCCGGTCATGACGATCTCCGTGACAGACTGAGCCTGCAAGGCGCGGGCAATGCAGGAAACCGTCGAGATACGTGGGGTGATCTGTAGGAAAGCTGGTGGAAATGCAACGGCACAAGCAACATGCAAGCAGCTGCCAGTGCAAGCCAGGCAAGGTGCCTGGCTCACTCACTTTGACGCCGCCGGAGCCGCCGCCGGTGCCACCGCGACGAGGACTGCCCAGCTCTTCGGGGCCACGTTGTCCCGCATCCTCCATGCCGCTGTCGTCCTTGAAGGACATCACGCCGCTCCTCAGTCTCGCAGGGGCCAGCCGGCGGACGGCCTGCGGGGCGGGGGCGCCCTTGCGTTGTCTGGAGCTCACGAGGCAACACACAAGCCAATCAAGGGGCCGCCAAGCGCGATAACTCACCCTGCGGGGCCCTCCCGCGAGCGCCAGGCCAGGCGGCCCACGTGCTGCGCACTGCATCCAAGCTGAAGCAGAAGCGAGAGGAAGAAGCCCGGAAGAACTGCACTGCACTGGGGAGGGGCTCAGCACAGCTCAGCACACAGCCAGCTGACACAGCAGCAGAGCGCTTGAGCAGCATGCGGCAGCAGCCGGGAGGCCCATGATTGTCTTGTGGCTCTGGAATCGCCCGGAATGCTGCCATTTCGTGACCAGCGATGGTTCTAAACTTCAGGAACACGACCTTTGGGCGCTGCAGCTCCGCACCAAGTCGGATGCATTCCAATTCCGCTGCCTGTGCTCTGCAGCCAATAGGAAAAGCTATGTTGCATCTGTGGGGAACTGAAGGCGAGCCGCAGCAGCAGCGGAAGCAGGGGCAGGGCCCCTACGCGACTGACCAGGCGGCGGCGCCTGCGCTCCGATTGCGCCCAGCTCAAGCCCGCAAGGTCAGCGAGGTGGACCTACCCCTCGCCCTGCTGGAAAAAACGTGAGTGCATTGTCACCTGCAGCAATACAGCGCAGCAGCTGGAGCCGGCGCCCAGCTCGCAGGACGCCAGTGCCACTGGCAGCGCCAGTGCCACTGCCGCTTGCAACGCCTTGTTTGCAGCCGCTGCGGCAGCGGCAGGGCCGGCTGGCTGCACGGCTGAGCTCCCAGGTGCAGCAGCAGCAAGCCAGAGGGAGGGAGGGAGCCTGGGGAGCGTTGTGGCAGCAACAGATGCCTTGCATGTGCGCAAGGCAGTGCAGCACTAGTGATGTACAGTACTGCCGACATTGTGATGCGGCCTATAGCAGGGTAACTGTAACACATAAATTAACACAATGTAACAGACAGACGGACAGTGTGTCGGGTGGGTGGGGGCAGAAATATGTACATCGACGGCGAAGGCCCTAGGGGCCCGGGGCGGTGTGATGAAGGAATTCAGTGGGTCGCGATGCCATGCCCGCGGCTCCGGCTGGCACGGCACCAACTGCCCGTAGTAAGTTGCTACTCCAGGCAGGCGCCCTTGATGAGACGGAAGCCATTGAAGCACTGCTTGCAGATGGCGGTATCTCCATTGCACTGAAAGCAGTGCGAGTCTTTGCAGGTCTTGCACTTGACGCCGCTCAAGCCAAAGTTGTCCCAGCACTGGCGGCACTTGCCGGTCGAGTGGTTGCACACCTTGCAGCTGGGGCCACCGGTCACCGAGCACTGCACGCAATGAGGAACACATGCCAGAGAGCAATTCAGCCCGGCCATTCTTGCAAGCAAGGCCAGCAGGCAGCAGATAGAGGCGTGTGGACAGGCGGGCGGGCCGGAAGGCGCGCAGCGTTGTGCTCTGGCAGACGGGAGGGCAAAACTTGAGCCACGCGAGCAAGCAGGTGGGCAGGGATTGTGGCCTGGAAGGCCGGCTGGCGAGCGGGCAAGGCAGGTGGCCATTGTTCTGCTGCCGGAAGGCAAGGAGGGGCAACGTATCCGGAGCGTGCTGGCCGCAGCCTGCCTGTGCTGGGCACTCACGCTGCGGCACACGCCCTTGGAGTCCTGCCAGATGTCGACGGGGATACGGAAGTCGCTGCCGTCGATGCACTTGGTGCACTTGCCGGTGGTGGGGGTGCAGACAGCACACAGCGGGTCCTTGCTGCAGCGGCAGCGGGCACCAGCGGCGGGGCTAGAAGGAGAGAACCAGAGTGGCTGCCGCGGCAGCAGGGCAGGATGGGCAGTGCCCCATGCCATGATGCCAGTCGAGACCAGCCTTCTGAACGGCGACGCGAGACAATGCCAGGCAAGCGCAGCGCAACACCAGCAGCTGCCCGCTCACCAGGCGTCGCAGGTCTTGGTGGCCGACTTGAACAGGAATCCCTCCTTGCAGACCTGGCAGGTGCCCATCTTGTCGCAGCGCCCGCAGCCCTTGCCTCCCTTGCACGGCACGCACTTCTTGGTGGCGGCGTTCAGGTACCAGCCGTCGTTGCACCGCAGGCACGTGGTCTGGGTCAGGCACTGCTTGCAGCTGCCGTCGGCGGAGCACTGCGTGTAGGCAGGCAGGGAGGGAGGGAGGCAGCAGGAAAGGGCAGAAGGGGCATCAGCATCGCTGGCCACAGGCAGAACTGCAGCGACTGTACGCTGAGCCTGTGCTGCAGTAAGCGCCGGCAGTGCAAGGTCTGGGGAGCAGTCCGAGGGCAAGCGCCACGCGTCCGGCAGCGCACCGGGGCGCACTGGCGCTTGGGGGTCAGGAAGAGGCCCCAATTGCAGTCGTTGCACTGGCCCTTGGAGTTGCAGGAGATGCACCCGTCGGAAGCAGTGGTGCACTGCAGCAGGCGCAGGGGCGGGGGGGGGGGTGCGGTGGTCGGGTTGAAAGACGCACCACGGTGGCGCTCGGTGTGTGTTGAATGCAAGGTCAGGTGGGTGTGCAGACAGGGGGGTGGGCACTCAAAGCAGGCAACGCAGCAGCACAACAGTGCAGCTTCCTCGCGAGGCGGGCAACTTTCGTCGGCGCTGGCTGTGGAGGCTCACCCTGCTTGCTTGTGTGGGCTTAAAGTCTGGTTAAGCAAGAACTAGCTTGCAACCCTGGTACACTTGCCCGCGGCGCTGATGTACACAGGGAACTGCCCTGCGGGATCCTCCAGGCACACCTGCACACACACACACACACACACACACCGCGGCGCGCAATCAGCACAAGCAGCAACAGCCAGGCATTTGGCAGGGATGCAGCGCGTGCTTCCCTGGGGCGCCCCGTTCCCCTGGATGACGCCGCACGTCCACCCACCTTGCACTGCTTCTTGCCAGTCTTGGGGTTGATGCCGTTGTCGTGGAAGCACACGGGGCGTTGCCGGCCCAGTGGGCGATCAGTGCGCTGACACCGATCCGCAAGCCTGGTGCGGACCACCTGCGCTGTGACGGCTACCGCGGCATTGCCGTGGGCACACTGCCGGCCAAGCTGTTTGCCAGCATGCTTCAGAGCAGGTTTACAACCCACACTGAGGCGGCGGGCATTCGGGCATCTGGCCAGGCGGGGTTCCGGCCAGGGTACGGTTGCCGTGACCAGCAGCTTGCACTGCGAGCCATCATTGAGCGGCAGCGGGCGCGTGGGCAGCCGTTGTATGCCTGCTATGTGGACTTCAAGCAGGCCTTTGATAGGGTCCCGCGGCATCTGCTGTGGCAGAAGCTGGAGAGCGCCGGCCTGGGTGGCTGGGCGCTGCGGGCGGTGCAGGCCCTTTATGCGACGGTTCCCATGTGCGTGCGGGTGCCTGGTGGGTACACACCCACATTTCAGGCCACCTCAGGGGTGAAGCAGGGCTGCCCCTTGAGCCCTATATTGTTCGGTCTGTTCCTGGATGACTTCGAGTCCGGGCTGGTGCAACAGGCTGCGGCCGCGGCTCTGCCTCGCTGGCAGAGCGGGGAGTGCGTGCCGCCATTATTTTACGCTGATGACCAGGCCTTGCTGGCCACCACGCCGGCAGGCCTGCGTTTCCAGCTTGGTTACCTTGAGAGCTACTGTGCCGCCTGGGGCCTGACGGTTAACACCAAAAAGACCCAGGTGGTAGTGTACACCACTGGCGGGGCTGCTGCCACGGAGGAGCGGTTCCGCTACGGCGGCAATGAGGTGGAAACCGTCCCCACCTTCAGATAGTCTATGTTGCAAGCTAGTTCTTGCTTTACCAGACTTTAAGCCCACACAAGCAAGCAGATACCTCGGCGTGCACCTGCACTGCCGGCAGGCCTTTGCCTCGGCGGCATCGTATCGGGCGGAGGCTGGGCGGCGCGCGATGCACCTGCTGCGTCGCCGCCTGGCCGAGAATGGGTTGCAGGACCCCCTGCTCAGCATGCGTGCGTTCAAGTCTTACGTCCTGCCGACGTTGTCGTACGGGGCAGAGATCTGGGCGCCGCAGCTGATTCTGCAGGGCAGGACGGCATGCGAGCGGGTACAGCTGGAGTACCTGCGAGGGCTGCTGGGTGTGCGGGACAGCACCCCAGCCCTCATTGTGCTGGCAGAGACGGGGCAGCTGCCGCTGCCCGCCTACTGGACCTTGCAGGTTGCACGCTTTGTGAGCAACCTGCAGGCTATGGGCGGCGAGCGGGTCGCCCGTCTTGCCATGCTGGATAGCGTTGCGCTGGCTGCCGACACGGACACAGGGCTGCCACTGGCCCGGCAGCCCTGGGCAGCGCAGGTTAGCCGCGTTCTCGCGGCGGCCGGCGCCCCCTGCGACTTGACTGCTGACGAGGGGGTTGCCATACCTGAATTGGCGGAAGCGCTCCTGGAGCGCCATGTTGCCTCGTACATGCATGCATCCGTGAAGGTGCAGCGGTACATTGAGGACGTGTGGGGGGGCAGCATCTCTGCGGAGGCCTACACGCCTGCGTCGTTCCTGTGCGATGTGCCCGAGCGCCGGCGCCGGGTGCGCCTGGCGCAGTGGCGCACGGGGTCGCACTGGATGGCTGAGGAGACAGGCCGGTGGCAGCGGCTGGACCGCACCCAGCGCCCATGCCCCCACTGCCAGGCTCTAGAGGACGTACGCCACGCAGTGTATGACTGCCCCCTATACGCTGGGCTGAGGGAGGAGTATGCTGAGCTCTTCCACAGTCCCGGCCACGCCTTGCCCTCCCTGGCCGCCTTCCTCGGCCAGGCCAGGCAGGGCCGGCTGGCCCGGTTTGCCGACCGGTGCCATGAGGAGCATGCTGCTGCCCTGGCACAGTGACTCCCCCGGTTCCCTTGAGTAGGGCCCAGGCATCTTTTGCCCGGCCTTGGCTCCCGACCCACCCCCTCCCCCCGCAGGTAAGAGCAGCGTCAGCGTCAGCAAGCAACGGTCAGCGGCAGCCCCACCACCCCCACCTCCACCTCACACACTCACTGGCCCCTTGCGCGATGGCACGCCGGCATGTTGGCATGGGAACGCCAAGCCCGGCACGGTAGCGGCGGCTGACTGAGTAATGGCACAGCCGACCGCCG